AGAAAGGGTCAGTGGCACTAAGGTGGGGTAGAAGCCTCATGCCTCTCCTTGGCAGGGTGGAGCATAGGGCCACTCCTCACATGGCCAACATTAATCCAGATCTTACTAACTTAGAATCACATACCTGAGGCCAGTAACTCCTTCCTCAGACCCAACCATAGGGTCTGATGAACCAAGTTATCTGGGGACCTGGACATGCCTCCCACTGCCCCTGGATTCTCCTTTGGTTTCCCCATGGAAAGCAGAGCTGGTTCGGCAGGTGGCTGCTTGGAGACCAGGGCATTTCTTGGCTAGTCTCAAAGGTATAGATACCTTTATTCTTGTTTATTTTTGCAATGTTGGGTTTGAACTCAAGAGTCTTGCCTTTGCAGGGCAACTGCTCTCCCACTGAGCTATATCCCAGCCTTTGGTCTGTAGAGACAACCTCACTTCGTAGCACAGGGTAGCCTTGAACTTGCAAGTCTCCTGCCTCCACTCCCTGAATACTGGAATTCCAGATGGGTGCCATCATGCCTGATTTGCAAATTCCTTGTGACTCTCCAAGACTGAATCCAGATGTTAAAAGTCCTAATTGCCATGGTGCAATGAGGAAATGAAATTTACAAGACAAAGAATCAAGACCCAGAGCAGGTGCCAAGCAGCCCAGGAATACCTCATGGATGCAGCTGCACTGAGTCCCCAGGGCTCTTCCACCTGAGACCTTGTGGGAATCACTTGCTCCCAAAAGAAGAACCAAGTTAGTGCATGCCCAACAAAGCCCCAGAGGTCTGGAGTCCCAGCCCAGATGCTGACTGTGTCTCTGTGCTCATCCCCCTTACCACCCCACTAGCTCCTCACTCCTTGGGATCTGTTACTGACATACTAGGCCCCCTGGGTGACCCTATATCCACCTCCCCTCTTGATTCTCACCATCAATTCCACTTAGGAAGTCATCTTGGGAATCTGTGCCCTCTACCCATACAGCCATCCTTAAGGCCCACCCAGGGATGCATCCCATGGAAGGTGGTTGGAGGGGGAACACAGGCCCACAGTCAATCATAAGATCTTCCTGGAGACAGAAAGTTCTGGCCAAACACATGAGGGAACAACTGAGGATCCTAGCCTACAGTGGCATACACACTTGTGCCTGTATCTGTATGTGTGTTTGTGTGCCGATTTGTGTTGTTGGTGTGTACATATATGTCTATGTGTCTGTGTGCTTGCATGTGGCATGCTGTGTGTCTGTGCTTTTCTGTGTGTCTCTGGGTATTGTATCCATGTGTAAGTCTGGGGGTTGCCTCTATGTGTGTGTGTGCAAATGTGAGTGTGTATGTGTGAATGTGAGTGAGGAGTGTGTGTAGGTGAAATGCAAAAATATTTCTAAATACTGAATAGTTTATGTGTCAGCATTCACCAGGAGTGATTTTATTGTTTATTTTACATAAGCCTTTTGAATGCATTTTAAAAAATAAACACACTGGTTTTATGGGCTTGAGATCCTGTCTTCATTGCTATCTTCAGCTTTCAAATGCTCCCAACCATTTGAAAACAGTTTTTTTTTCTGCCAGTACTAAAGAGCACATGCATATGGAGTGGCAAGGAAAATGCCCATGGGAATACAGAAGTGGGCAGTTGAAAGTAACATCCCATCATGACAGGAGATGGTGTATGGAAACAGAAGTGTGTGTGTGTGTCCCTGACTCAGGGCAGAGCAACCTGGACAGCCTTCTCTCCTGCAGAAGTTCCCTTCATCCTTCATGGCAAGGACCTGGATACTTCATTTGTGTGGGGCCAACCCCCAGCTCAGAGTGAGACACAGTGAGTTCCGTAGGAATTAATACCAGGAATGGAGAAAGAAAGAAAAGAGGGATGGAGGGAGGGAAGAAGTGAGGAAGGAATTAATTAGTGGTCCCAGAGGGACCTGGGCTTCATGTTACCATGGTGATAGCCATAGGTATAAAACTGCATTGAAAGTGGGGCCCAAACCACGGTGCCATCAGGGTTAAGAGAGAGTAGGGCCAAGTTACACCCCCATACCATCTCACCCCCACTTTTGCAGAAAGAAGAAATGGGGCTTATAGGATGGCTAGCTAATGACTAGGCTCTGAGCATCACCAGGGACACACACTCCTTCCACATCTCTCTCCTATACCCAGCTCCAAAAGACTCCCTAAGGACATGCCTCGAGTCCTCTGGCAAACTGCAGCTCTCTGCATGTTAACTTCAGCCACCTCAGGTCTCCACCTTGTAGCCAGGCGTGAGCTCTGCCTCATCGCCCACATACTACCTCTGCTCTCAACTGTCCATCTCTGCTAATGCCCCTCCTTAACCCCATAGGTCCCCGTGGAGCAGGCTCCTCAGGACTGCTGTCAGCGGCAGGAATGACAGAGGACTAGAAGAGGGAGGAGTACCCACCATCACCAGGAACACACATCTCCCAGGCAGTACTGCTGGCACCAAGAGCTTAAGATGGCACCGTGCCTACCTCATACAGTCACAGCACAAATGGGGCTGTTGTGGGGGAGCACAGGAGGCTCCCACTTGGGCCTCACAGAGAAGACAGCTGACAGCTGGGGGCTGAAAATGGTCTTAGGGGCAAGAGGGACTGCAGGGACCTCCAGCAGCCCACCCACCTGCTCAGCACAGCTCCTGCCAGCTCTGCCAGGCTTCCTACCTGCACAAGGTCTGTCCCCAGCCCTTCTCAGCACACGAGCCTGGACCGCATGCCCTGAGGGTGTCACCCTCGCCCTCAGCCAGCCTCCGTACTCTTGTCCTTTTTTGTTCCTTCTTCCAGTAAGTCACTTGTTCCTGCAGCTTCCCCAAGAGCTCAGTGTCACTAGCCGGGCGCCAGCCCGCCTGGCCCAGCTTCAGGCAGTGCCACTGCAGCGCTGCTCTCTTCTGCAGAGCTGGCTGTCTCCGCACGCAGCTCCCACCTCACACCCGCCAGGAGGATGCTCAGAGCTGTGCAGAGCACAACGACTCAGCCGTGCCACCTCCAGTAACTACCACCACCACCACCACCGCAGCACACTCGCCCCCAGAAAAAGCAAAACCAAAAGCATGCAACTCCCTGGGAAGCCCTTTCTCCTCCACTGCAGGCTGTAGAGGAAAACCAGGACTGTCCAGATCCTGTTAGCCAGGAGAGCCCCTTCCCACAGTCCAGACAGAGTACACCAACAGTGCTTCACAGAACCTAGTCCTTACTTCTGCACTTAGCTCAGAGACACAATAAGGATGCTCACTCTGCAGATGTGGTCATGTCCTTGCCTTGCTCTCACCATGCATGAGGGACACCAATGGCCTCATAAGAATGTCCCTCCCATGCATTATCCTGGGGCAACTCAGAGCTGGGATATAGGGCATGGAACATGTCACAGCTCAAACCTCACCAACTCTCTCATGGCCAGGTCTCAGAACTGCGCCAAGTCTGCCCACATAGGCTAGCTTTTCTAGATGAGGGTCTGCTGGACTCTGCTATGAAGTGGACCAGGTTCCCAAACTGTGCTTTTAGTAGCAACAGTAATGGCAGAGACAGATCCCAGATGCACCCACATCAGCCCACAAGGTCACAACTTGCCACCCAAGGTCTGCTCTCTGCCAGAGGTCAGGAGAATTAGGGCAGCCTTTGTCCAAATTAGGCTCTGCTGGGGGATTCCCCACACTTGGCTGAGATCTAGAGGCTTTTTCACATCTAAGAAAGAGGGACAGCTGTGTGGTCAGCCAGGTGCACAGGTGCCGAAGTATAAGGGAGAGGCAGGAGCTCCAGGTCCACAAGGGAACACGGGCCTGTTTTCTTAAGCTTGAAGTCTTCTGTGGGAGGGCAGAATACAGGCTTCAGTGTGCTATGGGGAGGGGCACTGAGAGTCAGGAAGGCCAGGTGGGCTGTCTAGGGAAGCAAAACCACACAGTTGTCATAGTCACTGCCATCCCAGGGGCTAATACTGGCACATGCTCTTTTCAACAAGACATGTTTAAGCTGTTTTAAAAGTTCCCAGGGAGCATAACACTCTGGAGCAGGAGGAAACAGAATCAGGAGTTCAAGGTCAGCCTCAACTATGCAAGAAGTTCAAGGCCAGCCTTGGGCTACATGAGACCCTGATTCAAAAAAAAGTTAAAACAAAAAATAATGAAAACAAAAGCCACCAAGGATGAACTCTTGTTCAGGGAGAGAAACAGGGAAGGATCCTGGGCAGAGTGAAACTCTAGCGATGGTGGGAGGGACAAGTAGGACAGGGGTAGATGCGGTTGGGACCAGGCAGGCTTCAGTGGGATGGAACAGGCTGATCTTTTGTCCTAATCCAGGATTTGCCTGTATGACTACCAGCTATGCTCTCCACACAGGACAAGACTCACAGGACCCACAGAAGACAAAAGTCATGATCTTACTGCTCAACCCACTCAAACAACTTGAAGAGCCCAGTACACAGGCAAGCAATGTTTATGAAAAAGAGACAGAGTAGCAGCCTGCCTCAGGGCTGGGGAAAGGCAAGGCCTTACCAAGTTGGCAAAGGCTGAGGTGGGAGAGGGCCAGAAGACTCTAACCAAAAAGCATGCAATTCACAGTGCCTGCCACCAACTGTGCAAGCATTTGCAGTTTTGACCTGGCATCCATGTTTGTATGGACTCATCTGAAGGAAGAGTATGGAGATTACTAGCGTGAATGGAGCCTTGGGAAAAGATGATCACTGTAGTCTTATTTACCACAGTAAATCAGAATATACCCCGCCTAACCAGAGGACAAGTCTAGCACATCCCAGGTCCCATGGGAGTGGGTGTGTGACACATGCTGACATGCGCTTACATCTGAGTGAGCTATGAGTGTTGGGCTATGGAAAAGAAGGGGATCACAAGAGATTACACAACAGCGCGGTGCCATCAACGTGAACTCTGTATGGAGAGGAAAAGGTTTGGAGTGTGCTAAGGATTCTGGGCACAGGGAAGGGACTAGAAGATTCAGGGTTCTTTCTGAGATGACTCAGCTCTCAGAAAGTGCCAGCAAGCACTGGCCACAGGCTTCTCACCTCAAGCACTCGGCCTGTGATATACTTCTCACAGCCATCGCAGCGGATGCCGAACTTGGTGTGATAGTCAGCCTCACAGTAGGGTAGCCCATCCCTGCAATGAGACAGGCAGTCAGGAGGGCATAGGGTCACCCATTTGGTCCCCAACATGCAACAAACCTCACAAGAGAACTTTCTCTCAACATGGAGGCAGGGTAACTTTCTCCCACTCCGAGAGATGATTCCTGGACACCTAGCAATCATTTACCACCCACTTTGACACCACATGAGAAATATGAAGGGGTGAGTCCTACCTTCTACCTGAGTTTTCAAGTGTGGCTGTACACCTAGCACTGCTGGTGGCAGCAGGAGTCAGTGTAGAGGCAGGCTGCTCTAGAAGCTGTGTCCAGGAGAGTAGCCAACTCTGTTCTGTGTTAAATGGCCTAGCCATCATCCCAGAGTCATGGGAAGACAGTGTAGATAGGATATCCCCCAACTTACCTATCCTTTTTTTCTTGGCACTGTGAGCCTATCAATAGATGAAGGGCCACAAAGGCAGGGAGCGAAGGCTCAGGGAAGGGAAGGCTCAGAGAGGCATGGAGGTTGCAGGTGGGACCTTTTTCATCCCCACTTAAGATGGGAAACAGTTGCTGGGAGGAGACATGCAAACAGTCTTGGACTCAAATGTCATGTCCCAAGTGTGTCACTTAATATCACTGACACTCAGCCCCTCCCACAGTAAAACAGGAGAAATGACAGTGAGTTCTTCAAAAGAGGTGATGCTGGGGTCTGGCTTAAGAAATCACTTGTCAGTGTCCTAGACTATTGGTGTTGCTAGCTGTGGTTGTCTTCAGCCATGGGCCACAGACCATCAGGAGTTAGTGTGGAGGTGAGAGGAGGGTGGACTCTACTAGATTTCCACAGCCATGACAGGCAGGTATACTCGGGCTGTTGGGTTTTAGACTGAGTGCCATACTCCTTCCTTAGTACCGGGACCCTCACTAGGCCCCAGGACGAGCGCTCCAGGACTGGGTGCCCCTCTGTGACTGTCCTCCACTGATCTCAGCTCTCAGAAGGAGAGAGGATGCAGACCTGGAGACCCCATAAGCTCATATTATCTACAGCAAACCCAGGAAGTTCTTAGATTCCATCTCCATGGCAACATCAATGTGATCTCCCCCTCAGTTCTGGGATGGCTCTGGAGGCTGCTAAGTAACATGTTGGTGTGGGTGAGCCACCAACGCCCTGTGTGGGGGGCACCTGATGGGGGGCCTCACTACCATTTTCTTCAGAGTCCTGCACACCAGGCTCTGTCCAACTGAGCCACTCCCCACAGTGTGACTGCGATGGAGGCTGGGGGGCTAATAAGGCTTCACAGATTCATCCATCAGAGTAGAAGCTCACTTTGGCTTGGGGACATCACTTTAGACAATGTTTAATTTTGTGACCAATGGGGGACATGGCATTATAATCAGGAACACCGAGAGGTCCCTGGTACTCTCTATTCAGTCCCCTGGTGACAGAGTGTACCTGGGTGCCACCACGAGCATATTGTCCTCTGGGACTCTGTACATGTCCTCCCAGACATTTGTGTGTATGTACACGTATATACACAATATATGTGTGTTCATGATTGTGTGCATGCATGTTTGTATGTGTCTGTGCATGTATGTGCACACACTGTACATGTGTGTCCATGCTTGTGTACTTAGGTACATGCATGTGTGCACGCATGTGTTGCACACATACTCCACTCTATGCAATGTTACCAGGGGACCTTTATCACCTGATCAATCCATGCACGAATTTAAATTTTAGAGCATGAAGGAGGACATTCCTGTGCTAGTGGGCACTCTTTCAATCACCCCCCAGCTCACTTCACCTGTACTGTGAGGACTTTTTTGCCTCACCTCCCTGATCCTTGAGTTAAAATATATCCCAGCTCAAACCATGATCCCACAGTCTGTTGCAAATGCTGTCTTCTCCCCCAGGCAGGCTCACCCCCTTAACTGCATGCTGGAGGAACACTGAGCCACTGGGTAGGGGATATCCCAAAGTACATCTATGCAGATCAGAGCAGGCTCTTATAGGCTCCCATGCTCCCATGGGAACAGCCAGCCTGAGTCCTTGCAGCTAGCCTCTACCAGCCGTTAAGTGCTCTACAGGGCATCCAGTGCAGGAATGTCCAGGCACCAAGCAAGTAGCATCATCCTGGAACAGAGAGGCAGGTGTTTTATGAAGTCAGAGCCACGAGCTCCATTCCTCTGCTTCTAGCCACAAGTCAGAGCTGGAGACTGCAATCTACTTCAGCAGGACAGCTGGCAAGGGAGAGGAAGGCTGCAGGGACCAGAACAAGTCCTGGCCCTTGCTCTTTATCCAGGAGCAGAACTAGTTGACCCAGCAGGATTGGACCCCCTGCCCCACCTGCAGCATCTGGCAAGGCCTTCCTGAGCTGGCTCTGTCTGCCACACTCACTTGCTGATGTATTCTGCATTGAGGAGTTTCCCACAAGTCTTGCACTTGAAGCAGCCCAGGTGCCAGTGCTTGTCCAAAGCCACCAGGGCCTGGCCATTCTTGATTTCTAGGCCACAGCCCCCACAACCTGAAACAGAGAACAAACAGACACCTTCACTGTGGGCCCAGGGGCCTCCTACTGCAGGGCTCAGTAACCCCACCAGGGCACTCAACCCCTCAGAATATTAGGCCACAAAGAATCACCCAGGACAGCCCAAAAGGAAAAAGACAGACACAGTGGCATGCTAAAAGGACCATGTCTCACAGTTAAAGGAAGCCTTTGTGCAGCCCATGGTGAGACTTGATCTGTGTGTGAGGAACATTGAAACTATGCAGCCTAAGTTGGAAACTGGGAAAATCAAGATGGAGATGAAACCAGCCTTCTAAAAGATGGGATTTGTCATGGTACAAACCATACCCTCACACCAGGGTGTGCTGGGTCCGAGCTGGCCAGGGTTTGGGGGTGACCTGCTTGATCAGGTGCACTGGCAGTTCCTGGTACAGGAACTTCCCACCCTTTGCTGGAGGCAGAATGCTGAACTTACACATAATATGGGATCTCACCAGAGGGACATGACCTCCCCGGAGAGGAGGGCCCCAGCCCCTCTTGCCACTCCTACTCCTGGCCATGCTTCTCACCTGCCTGGATTCACCTCCTGAAGAGCTGAGTCGAGCTTTCACCTCCACTCCCTGCTCCACATGCCACCTGATTGGAGCCCCCTCCTGGGGATTCTCTCTGATCCACATATCCCCAGCTCTTCCTCTGGCTATGAGACCCCTGCATTTGGGATTCTCCTCCCCTTTGCTCTCTACTATGACCCCTAGTCAGCTGGGGCCTATCCCAGACCCAGACAGCTTCTTCTGCACCTGCCCTGCTTGTCTCTACTTTCTCTCTCTGAACCCCACCTCCACCCCTGCCATGGAGACCAGCATTCTTCATTGTGTGGTAGTGTCCTAGCCTGAGGCTCTGACCAGCCTCCCGAGATGCCTCTTCCCTCCACTGTGCCCTCCTTGCTCCATGCTGCTGAGGTCCTGGCCCTACTTTGCTGAGTCAGCTGGTCCCTCCACACAGGAAACTGTCACACCAGGGTCCTTGTCACTCACTGATGGATGTGTAGGCTATCAGCAAAGTGGAACAGTCAGGGGTGTGATGAGCATGCAGGGGTAACTCTGGGGACTTGTGCATCATTCTTGCATGCACCTGTGCAAGGATGTGTGGTTATTTTTATTTTTTATTTATTATTATCTTTTTTCTTTTTGGTTTTTTTAGACAGGGTTTCTCTGTGTAACAGCCCTGGCTGTCCTGGAACTCACTCTGAGACCAGGCTGGCTTCAAACTCAGATCCACTTGCCTCTGCCTTCCCAGTGCTGTGATTAAAGGCAGGCATCCTCCACCACCTAGATTATATATAGGTATATTATGTGCTGTTTGCAGCCTGGGTGGGCACAACTGCCTCTTAGTTTCAAGGGCTGGGAGCCAGGACCCCCGGGACACTGAAGTCTTGTCTCAGAAGAGGCACAGCCTTTGCACTTCTGTACACACCTCCCACAGGTTTAACGCTCCTTTGACCAGTGCTGCCTGGAGCACCCAAACATGGCATGAACAGTCATCACACTATACTCACTGGGAATAATGACAAGGGAAGATGTCTGCACATGCTCTATACAGACAGTTTGGGGTTTTTCTTTTTGACACGGGATAGTCCATGTTTGATTCAAACTCATTATGTAGTTGAACACTTGATCTTCCTGCCTCCACCCAGCAAGTGCTGGGATTACAGAGACACTCAGTTGTGCAGCATTTTATGTGGTGCTGGGCCATATTTTGTGAGCACCATGCCAGTGGCTCCCAGGCAGGGGTGATTTGTCCCCAGAGGACTTGTAACAAGATCTGGAGACCCTTCGAATGGCTCCAATGGGGCCAGATCTCTGTGTATGCCATATGGGACTGGGAGAGATGCTAAGTCTCCTGCCTAGCTCCACATAGATGCCACCCCAGAGACAAATGGCCCCAAACACCTATAGTGCTGGGACTGAATGGCTTGTCTAAGCAATGGCTGGCCTGTGGGCGACACCATACCAGACTGTTATGAAGGCAAGAAGTTGGGCCTCCTGCAGAGGTATCAGAGCAGCAACCTCCAGGTAAGGCTCCCAAGGCTCAGGCACTAACTGCCTCCCACCTGCTACATGACCACTGGCATGTCATTTGTGTATACCAAGGAAAGGGGATGTTCTTGTGGGCTAATAATAGCTCTGAACCCATAGAAAGTAAGTCCAAGCACAGGTCCCAGGTGTGAAGGCTGTACATCATGAATGAATAAAGGCAGGTACAGACCACATCTACCAGAAAGCCTGGCTTTGCCCTCACAACTACTGCTATGGTCAGAGCTGGGGCTGCTGCGGAGGTCCTGGGCATGACTGCCACTCTGTTGCTATCAGCTCACCTGGTACTCCAGAGTAGGGAATGGAGGACCATCTGGGTTCCTCTGCCTGGGCTCAGCAGGGGGATTCTGTAGCTCTGGGCCATCATGAAGTTGCTCTCAATAATGACCCTCATCCCTGTCCATACAAGGTGTATATGGAGTCATGGGAACACAGTGTTCACTGTCAATACCTCTGGTGCCCTGATAGCCCTGCATGGCTCTGCCAGTGACAGAGCAGTTCTGTGACAGCTACTGCCTATCTGCCAATCATAGAACATCCATTGAGAGACCAAAGGGGTTCTAAAAGATCTCTGTCTCCTGCCCTGAACACCGCATATGACTCTGCCATCAAGATAGACCTGGTCTTGTGCCAGTACCAAAAGGGAAGGACAGAGAAGGACTGGGAAGGCTTCCTGGAGGAGGAGGCCTAGAGCTGGGTGACACCAAAAGGGGTGTGGAATGTAAAAGCTGAGGTGGCTGTGGTGGACATAGCCTGTGTAAAAGACTTAATGGCAGGAACAGGGGGATTCCTCAATGGGTCCCCAGTGTTCAGTGCTCTGTTACCATGCTGATTCCACAATGTCAGGCTTGGTCACCCCCTGTTGCAGCTCAGCACCCGCCCTTACAGAGGCCAAGCCACACTTACTCCGGAGGCCCTGGGCCAGGTGAGCACTGCTGCCCAGTGTTGTGGGTGGGGAACACTTCTGGCACATACACTCCTTCCCATTGAAGGTCACACGGTCCCCAGGAGGAAAGGGCAACCTGAAATGAGAGAGAACATCCTGTTGGCCACTTCTGGCCCTTCTCTCCTGCTGTCACACCAGGGCATGGCTCCTGACTCAGCAGACGGTCCTCTTTCTAGGGGACCAAGAACCTACACAGACTAGACAGGGCCAGGTTCTTGCTGGCTGGTCCTGCAACCTTCTTGGCCCTTGGCTGACCTGGGTTCCCTGTAGCTCATGGATGCCTGAAATTGTTGCCTGCCAGTGCTGTGGTCTGAAAGCTACCATGTCTTAACACAATGCATCTCCCTAGGGAAGGGGGAGTTTAGGGTTGAGTGGGCATCCCTGACAGTATCTAATATGCTAAGTCATACTCCAGCTGTACAACTTAGATACATTATTCAGTCTCTCTGGGTTCCTATTTCTCATCTGCAAGAGAAGACTAATGGCATGCCTGTATACAGGCTTGCCATTCACTCAGACATCCCTGGTGGAACATGCTTGCCTAGACTCCAGTGGCCATTCCCCTACAAGTTCAAATGGCTTAATTGAAATATATTCTAGAAAATACACTCAGTATAATCAATGCCATTGTGCTGCAGAACACCTGACCGGTGCAAAATGTCCCTGTGGCTCTCTCCCACTACCCCACTTCCTGTGTGAGTATTTTGTTCAACACCACACTGCCATTATCTGCCCATGTTGATGCTCCTTATGTCACCAGTTTGTTCTTTTTCAGGGCTGAGTATTACTCCATTACATCTGTTAAAAGGCATCTATCTGGGTTGTTCCCACTTGGACACCTGCATCATGGGACGTCCTTTCCCAAAGCAGAATTCCTGGTCACCTACTGTGTGATTCTGTCTCCAAGGAAACTGTACCACTTTTTGTCTCCTAGCTTCTTGACCTGCTATAATAGCCCTTGCCATCCACCATATGCTGTATCTACAACTGCCACTTCACAATTGTTTTGGTTGATGTCCCCGGTAGCTATGGTGTAAATGTGTGTTTTCTGTATCTTTCGGTCATTTGTGTATGTTCTTTGGTGAAACATCTGTTACACCCTTTTGATGGGGGAGGTCCTTCTGTGTACATGATTGTCTTATTGGTTGATAAAGTACTGTTGGCCAATAGGAAAACAAGATAGGTGGGACTAGGAGTCAAGGAGGATTCTGGGAAAGGTAGGAGAAAGCGCAGAGTCCATGTGAGCCCAGGAAAACAGGATGCTTGCCTCTGGCGTCCAATAAGATAAGTCTTATGAAATATATAGATTTATGATAAGACTAAGCTAGCAGTTGAGAAATCATAGTCATTGGCCAAGCAGCATTTGTATCTAATATAAGTCTCTGTGTGTTACTTGGGACCTTAACGTGGCAGAAGGTGGAACTTGGGCGGCCTGGCGAAAAGTGCCCACGTGGCAGCAGGACTCAGGCAGCTTGGCCGAAAGACTTATTATTATACCCTTTTGCTCATGCTGGATATTTACTTTGGATTGTAGTTCTTCACATATTTGGTCTATATCAATTACTTCCTTGTTGCTATGGCAAAATGCCCTGCAAGAAACATGTTAAAAGAGGAAGGGTTTATTGCCCCCCTGCTTTAGATTTTATGTTTTTGTCTGTCTTGAGACAGAACTCTAGTCTATAGCCAAGGCTAGCCTCCTGTCTCAAGCGTCTCGGAGTTGGGATTGAAGGTGTGCACCAACATGCTGGGCTGCTTTGAGATTCTGTTGATATCTTTTGACATTATTTCCCTCCAGCCTGCAAAACCATCACTCTGTAGCAAAATAGGCCTGCTGGAGCCAAATTCACTTAACTCTTGTGTATACAATAAAGATTTTGTCTTTGTCTCTTTCTATGGTGCCTGTTCATTGATGCTCACTATTCTCAGGCCTCAGTGTATAAATAACCCAATGAAGTTAGAGTGCCCTGAGCTGGGACACCATCTCCACAATCAATTTCAGAACATTTCAATCACCATTTTGATGCCATTTAAATCAACAAGGTCGGTCCACTCTGGGTCAGGTGAATCATCCCGCAGAGCAGCCTTGGACTCTGAGTCTGGCCTTCTTTTTCAGAAGGATTTTGGCTAAATACAGCTCTGGTACATTTTATTTTCTTTTTGGTGCTTACAGACATCTTCTGTTTCCCAGCATGCATAGCTCCTGGTGGAGGTCTGAGCTCATCCATGCTCCTCCACAGACATGGTGTTTTGTTTATATGGGAGGGGTGTGTTTTCTGTTGTGTAATTGTATTTTTCCTGATGTTTTTAGTTTTTTTCTTGCAAATCTTTAGCAGTGTGGCTGTGAACATCTCAGTGAGTTCTCGCTGGGATGTGATACATAGGGTTGATGGTGAATATCTGGGTACTCTCTTTTTAGGGCCACTGAGATTTGGGAGCTATAGGCTCCTAGCTTTCATCAATTCTAGACAATTACATCCATTATTTCCAAACAATTGGTTCTTGTCTCTCTTACCCACACAAACAACAGACAGACAGACAGACAGACTAACAGAGAGGCAGATAGTAGTTCTACATCCACTCCCACGTGTGCCAGTGTGGAAGTGTCTACTGTCATTTTTGGGTTTCCACTGATTTCTTGCATGTGCCTCATCACTTCAGGAGATGCCTGTTTGGATTCTAGAGGGCCAGTGGTTTCTTTCTCTTCCTCTATAGCTCTCCCACTTCTGGGCATGGTCTCCTTTAAACAATGACAGAATGGACATGGCTGTCCCCATGTATTGTGTCTGCCAATGTCAACACTAGTGGTCTCCACTAACATTTATTCATGCATGGTTTGTTATTTCATCTGGGTCTACACTTCTGAATTAATACTGGATGTTTAGTCTTTGTGTAGTTGGATGCAGTGTTCCCACACCTTCCTGTAAGGAGGGTGGACTGCTAGCCTCTAGGGACATCTCAAGGAGGCTCACTCTTCCCCTGCAGGGTCACTGAACAGCAGTCTCTGCTCCACGGCTGTCTGAACCCCATCAATAAGGCCCACCCCTGCAGGTTCCAGCAAGGACCATCCACTGTGCTTAGACCTCAGTGTCCCCTGGGAACTGTGCACTGCACAGCAGCCTGGCCAACCCTCACCCCACTGATGGCTCATGTTGACTGTCAGCTTGACTGGATTAAGAAACATCTGGCAACCATTACATTACCTCTGGGTCTATCTGAGAGTGTTTCTAGAGAGGAAATCCATCTTGAATGTGGGCAGCACCAGCAACATTGTACATCCATCTAGTGTGGGCAGAGTCTTCTGGAGCGATGTTGTGGGGGGCAGGGATCTTCCTTTTAAAGCATTTTACTTGGGCATTTGTCACCATGAAGTGAAGGCCTCTTAATGGTGGCACGGCTAGGTATTTGACCTGAGACTCACAGTGCCCATTTTCTCCCCTTGTCTTACACATCCTGTCAGTACTATCTTTCCATTCATCATCTCACCCTGACCAGGAAACACCTCACTCTGTTCTCTGTGGTCCCTCAGAGTCAGCCTCCAGCAGGAAGCAGGACTATGGCCTGTGCTTTGCTGCACCTGAACCTAGGCCCCAGTTCCAATGTGTGCTTGATGAAGGTCAACTCTGTGTAGGGTCTAGTCTGGTTGCATGCAATGGCAGAGCCCCACCCCATCCTACAACCTGAACAGTGCTGCCTGTTGTCACTTGTACTTCAGTAGGCTGCCCAAGGTCTGCTCTCAGGCCAGCTGTGGCTGGACCTACCTCATAAGGATGACACATGGAAACCATTAAGGTGTTTCTGGAGACCTCTGTCCCAGCCACATTAGAGAGCACACAGCAACTCTTCCATGGAAAATGTCCCCCACCAAGTTTCCTCCCTTGATGTCTCCTGGTCAAAGGCTCCATTCTGGCCTTGGATGCATGCTGTGAGCATAGATAGCTGCTTGGAAAGGATATAGGAAATACCACACAGGGAACTAACTAAGCACACTCTGATCTTTGCTCTAGACTGTGTTTGCTGGCCAGGGGCCTTTCCTGAGGGCAGGGAAGGGATGCACAAGGACCCAGGAAGACTGCCATTGGTCAGAAGGCATGACCATAAGGCATTGCTGCCAGGGTGACATCCAGACACTTCACAGGGAGTTCACGTGCTCTATGCCAGACAACAGGGACCAGGACCAGGACCAGGCCTCCCAGTACCAGCACTCTCCCAGCTACCATGGTGTTGGGCAGGACATAGCTGCGAGTCAGGATGGGTCAGGATGCAGAAAAACAGGACAGAAGGAGAGAGGGAGGAGGGGAGAAGGGACTTACTGGGTTTAAGGGAAGGAGAGAAAGAGGGAGGAGGGAGGAGCTACCATATTCCTGCTTCCTGTTGGAGACAGATTCTGCAGGACCACAGAGCTACCCATGGCGCCTGCTTCCCCCTTCTGGAGGACTCTAAGAAGCTGAGATTACAGGGCCAGAACCAACGCCTGTGGAACCCTGGGCCCAGCACACATGGGTTGAATGAATGATGGAAAGAAGGAATGTATGGCTATAACAGGCTGAGACACATCTGGGGCAGGATCGGGAGCCTGGGGGAGGCTCCAGGGGTTCTGAGAACAGACTACAGTGTTGAGGACTGGGCAGAGGGTAGTTGTCATTTGCTGAGTCCAGAGCCAGAACAGTGGCTGGGTGGATTTGAGGACAGTGATGTGTGCGGCTTCTGTGGATAGGGCCATGTCAGCTGCAGGCTGGAACACAGGAAGCAGAGCCTGGGCCAATGGGAGTAGGTGAGCAGGGACAGACTTCCACCTGGGCAGGCATGGCAGGAAGCAATGTAGAAAAGAAGAGGGCCAAGAACAAGGCCAAGGGCAGGCTAGGGAGGGGCACCTAGGAGGCCAGACAGAGGTAAGAGGGTTTACTGTGGGGTTGGGTAAAGGCAGCTGGGGTCTGACAGGAGCCAAAAGACGGTGGAGGGCAGGAGGGCAGGGCCCAAGGTAGGTCTAGGTAAGGGGCAATAAGGGCTGTGGTGGGATTGAGCTTGGGAAGCTAGAAGACTTGGAGAAGGTACAGAGAGATGGTGTGCAAAGAATGGCCCTTGCTTTTGCTCACAGCCAGCTCTGCCTTGAGCCTGCTCTGAAAGACCCCCAAACAAACTGCTGTACTTCCCTGTGCCTGATGGAGTGGAGTGGAGCCAGGGTTGGAGGTAGATGGGCAAGGAGGAGGAGCAGAGGCCAGCGTGGTAGAGGCTAGACCACCCACCTGCAGACAGCACATACGAAGCAGTCAGGGTGGTAGGTCTTGCCAAGCGCTGACACCACTTCCCCTTCAATGAAGCGGTCACAGCTGAAGCAGCGAGTGCCATAGAGCCTCTGGTAGTCACGTGTGCAGATGTGTTCACCCTGTCGCACGAAGAAGCCGCCCTCGGCCAGGTCACAGCCACATGCTGGGGAGAAGATCAAAGGCTGGGCTAGCAGACTGACCAACTCATGCCTCACAGTCAGCAAACCTGACCCCAGCCCACCTGATACAAGCTCCTACAAACCCAAATGCCTTAGAGTACCTGTGATGGGATTCCAGGGACAGACACAAGCTTCCCTGCTAGCCTAGAGTCATGTGTCTTTTTCTGTGGAAGCTTCCAGAAAAAGGCACTGAGGAACTGAGGGGAGGATCTGCTTCCCACCCTTGCTAGGATATGATGGGGCTCTTTGGCCTCTGAGCCTTAAAACTGTTTCAGTGTTAGATGAACAGGTGAGCAGGGTGTGTGTGCATACACACACACACACACACACACACACACACACACACACAAAGAGAGTGAAAGCAACTACACATCTTTACCACTCTATGCTCTTTTCTGGGCTGAAGGTCCTAGCGGAGGACAACTAAGCCCATAGTCCACAGAGAAACTTCGCATTGCCTCCTGTTTTCATCATTTCCCCCAGTTCTCAACCCCTGACCCATGTAACATGGCAAGGCCAGATTCAGAACAGGAGAACCCACAGGCTAACTGTGAGCCTTGTCCTGACACACAGCTCCAGGGAACAGAGCCTGCTGAGCCTAGTTGAGGAGCAGAGAGGATTGCAGGCCGTGGGCAATATCACAAGTATTTGCTCTGGGACTGCTGTTCACCAACAGCTGGCAGGCCCCAAGTCAACTTCTGGGGACATAGTACCCTCTTCCCTTATACTCTCCAGCCCCAGAAGCACACTCAAGTGAACCATTCAATGTCGCAGATGGAATAGCCTAGAAGTTTCCACAGCAATGCTGTTTGCAGAAACATGGCTGCTGGTACAAAAGGAAAAGGGCCTTCCATGTCATGTGCACGCACAGAGGAACACCAGTGTCACCACTAGACCGTGGCATTCCTTACAGTCTGCTGTCTCAGCCTATGGCTGCTGCTGCCATCATTTCCACCAAAGGCTAGATGCCAGCCTGGAGCCATGCTGGATTCCTGCTCCACACCCAGTCTGGGAATGAAACCCAAGGTTTAATCTTGTCCTACTATAGATCAAACAAATGTTCTTCTGCAAGAACAGGCCATGGGGCTGACAGATATGCACAGGATTATACTGCAGAGCCTTGGAGACAAGACAACACAAGTACTCAAGATGCTGACTCTGGGCTGTGTCTGCTTGTCACAGCTGTGACAACACTGTTCAGCCCTTAAAGAAGGAATGTGTGCAGGGGGGCACAGACATAGAATTGAGCAAGCCACGCTGTAACATGGGGAGAGGGACACAGACAGCCATGCCTCACACCCTGAGAGACTCCACCAGCTCCTGGCCCTGCTGCCTTAGCTGCCTGCTGGTTTTTGGCTGCTCTGAGGATTCCAAGGTCACCCCAATGCAGTGACATCCCAGACCTCTGCTCCTAAAAATAAAAAGTCCAAGTTCACCAGTAACTCAAGTGCCTCATGGAGACAATGTGCCTCTATCACATTTCAGATTGAAGAGGATCAAGTTAGCAGAGGCCTGGAGGGTGTGGGGAGGTGCTCATCTTTGGGGGACACAAGGATTGGCAGCAGCTAATGAAAAGGCGGGGTCAGGGTCACTTCTTGGAATTCTTACTCTTTTTGTGTATAATTTGTATGTGTTCATGTATATAAGAAGGCCAGAGGACAATGCTGGATGTCTTCCTCGTTTGCTCTCCACATTTGTTTTTGAGACAGGGTCTCTCAGATTCAGCTGTGATGGCTGCCCAGTGAGATGCAGAGGATCCTCCTGTCTCTGCCTCCCCACCAGCACCGGGTTAAACAGATGCACACCCACAACTAACTTTCTCTGTAGATTCTGGGATCCTGTGTCCTGCAGATAGTGGCTGCTGCACTCTGTAGCAAAGTCCCCCAGAGCTGATGTGTCCTTCCTCTGGGGATGGATGGTTCAGAGCTGTGTGAGATGACAGAATAGGCTGGCCCTGCAACCCCCAACTCATGCCCACCCTGTGGAGCCTGAGGCACAGGTTTTCCTGGCTATGCTGGGAGCAAGGTGCCCATGTCATCATTTTTTTTCCTCAAGCAGCCCCAGTCACCATCCTGGGATGGCTATCACAAAGAATTCTGGTGCCTTTGTCATGTGTGGCAATGGGGGAGATAGAAAGATGGGGTGTCATTGTAAGAACATATCAGGGCCAATGTGACTGGGATACCTAGGATCCCCCTCAACCCTGGTGGCTCTTGGGATATCACTGGGAGCCAGCTGCCCACGCCCTAGGATGAGGCCTCTGAAGACTGGTGTCTGCTTCAGCTGAAGGCAGATCCCTCAGGGTCCCAGAACGAGACCCAGTAAGAGCTAGCTGAGGCTGTCCTTGTCACTACCCCACAGGCCATGTTTCTCCATGGATGCTGACCAGCCAGAGCTGACAGCACACCAGGAGTGTTTTGTGGTGGCCCCTTCTGCAGAAAATTCTCTTTTCAAACATCAGGACTTTATATACTATAGCTGAGCCAGAGGACCAGTATGGAGGGGTTAGAGAGATACACACAGAAGCTCAGGTACCTCTATAGGTTCAGGAGCCAGAGAAGGACCTGGAATCAAACCCCTATTTGCTCCTAGTTCCACCTCCCCTCTCTGAAGTCAGTCAGCACCCCCCACCCACCCCCC